TCGGTCCGTAATTTGCTATAAAAGCCCATATTGGACGAATTTTAGTATTAATAAATAAGTAATGATCTTATCCTGTTTGTTGACTGTATACCTAGTGTATACTATTATAATATAGGCTATATTATATAGCTGTCATTAAAATGCTAAGTTTCTGGAATCTAAAGAGAGAAGAAGGAAACTACCTGACCCAGAGCTATACCAGAATCAAGAATTTATACAAAAAATTTTTTCAATAGATTCAAACATATAATTTTAAATTTTAACACATATTTTTTTAAATACAGATACTGATAGAAATGTATATACTCTGTTCTAGTTATTTTATCAGTTTTATTATTAAAAAATCGGTTATTTTAATATAATAATAATATCTCAAATTCTCAATAAATAAACCTATATACAACTTGTAGATGTATTTTTCAGTAGAGAACAGTTAATAAACCTATATCAAAATTGTTGAGATAGGAGAGTTGATTTTCTTTCTATGTTCCTCTGGTAGACAATTTTATTGAAGTGCCACCCAGTGAAAATTACTTAAAATATGCTCTGCTTCTCGTCCTCGTCTCATGACACAATATACCTACTACTAGGTGGACAGAATAAAATTATAAATTAAGTTTTCCGTTAAGCTTACTCGCAACAATAATATTATATTATAATATATTGTTCGCTCTGAAAAATATGAAAATACTATATGCTCTTATTTTTGGTAGMAAATCACAGTCATCAGATCTTAAATTATACATAATATGGGATATGAGAACTGACTTGTGAACAGTTTGATATAATACTAAAAAAGTAATTTATCGGWAAACAATTCGTGTAAAACACTTGATTTTGACCTAGAAACCAATTCCGTCTTTATAGGAATGAAAGTTGTTATTAAAATGCCCCATCTTTTTCGTCTGGTCAGTTAGGTATTTATTTAAACTTTATATTTGGCTATAATTTAAATATATTAATGGTTTGCCTAAAGCAGTAAAAATAATTATTATATCATATATATATATATATATTTTTTTTTTAATTTAGAAAATATGATTATTGGTTTTTCTAACAGACCATAAAAAATAATTATACTATGACTATAAATAAAAGTTAAAACATTTTAAAACAAAATTATTTATATATTATATTTTATAGGTATTGATATATTAAAAAGAAGATACTTCATTGCTTGATCGCGACTGCGGACGGTTTTTTAATAATTGGCATACATTTCTATGAATATTTTTAGATTCTGAACGGAGTGATGAATGTATTGATTTTACAATAAAAGAAATGACAGAAAACC